GGAAGGAGAGCCGGAATTTGTACGAATTCCTCACCGCCCCCAGTGCGAGATGCGCTCGATGCTGTTGATGTGCGCCTACGAGAAACTTGGAGGATATGAGGGAACAGTACAGCAGCCGGCAATACCTGTTTTCGGCATTCTTGCGGATTTGATCAAATATTATGGAGGACAAATAATAATTGATAAATGTTTAATAAATAAATAATAAATCTTCTCCATGCATCTTAATATTTGATTAAATATCCGATGTAAACGTGAGACGTAAACATAAGCTGAAGAATCAATCGGGATATTGCTTTAAAAATTCAGGATTTTAACTGAACGAATCCTAGTTACTTCTACATACGATCAGGGAGTCAAATCTTTTTCTTTTCACGTGAAATCATGAAAAGCGGAGAACTTGAAAATATATGAAAATGTTCACTTTTCACGTGTTTGTGCATTGGAGTTTAAATTAATCCTTACTTGAGGAACTCTAATTTTCTGGAAAAGCGCAAATACTTTTATCGCGATATCATTGTGAATGCACTCCATTGATCGGTTGGATCGGAATATATGATCCCGTTGCTTAGAAAGCCCGGATATCAGCGGCCGATATTTGCATGCAGCGCGAGCTGCGTGTTCTGATCCGACGTTATCCGACAGCAAAGATCGTTTTTTACGACGGGGTTAATTCCGCGCGAAGGAGCGTTCGCCGACGAAGAGATCGAGCTCTCGGTGGTAGCGCTGAAAACGGCGCACGCGATGCGCTTCGCGTTTCGCTCTGATTCCGACAGCACGTGAGAGATCTCGGTATGATTTCGCTTCGACGTTGCCTTTTAACGCGGAGCGAAAATCGCCGTCCGTCGATTTGTTATTCCGGCGACGCGCGCGACGAAAGTGAATCCGTCGGGTTGCCGACAATGACCGGATCCGTTCGGACGAGATATTCAAACTCGCGGGTAATTCCTCTTTTTAATTTCTTTTTTTGCTACAACTTCTGACGATTAATGAGCTATTTCTGTCAGGGCTGCAGAAAAAGTAATACTTTATTCTTGAATAGTTTTTGAAAATGGCTGATTTTTTTTAAAAATATGTAATGCAAGGGAGAAAATGTTTACTTATTACTTTTATTCAATGTTAATTAAAAATATAAAATATGGATATTTCCGATCAAAATATCGATAAATTTTTATACCTAATCAGAATATCCGATTAAATTTAATCGAATGATATTTCATCAGATAAACCGATAAAAAAATTATAAACGATATTTCTCATTAAATATCTCCTGATCGGATACAAAAATTCATCGATATTTTGATTGGAAATATCCGTTTGTTAATTTTTTATCAAATCATTTTTCTCAGTGTACCGTTGTGAATTTGTGTAATTTTTTTATCAAGAAATCACGTCATTTTGACTACTTTCACTGTAGTTCTTTGCACGGGAAAAATACTGTAGAGAAAATCACAATTGTTTGTGTAATTAATTATGAAATTACTATATATTTACTTCATATAAATTTCAGTGTAGTCCAGAGTTTTACAAAAAGACATTGTAAAAGGAAATATAATTTTAATGTAAGTTTAGTCACAAAATTTTCTCCGTGTAATGTCAAGTGATTGTTCTGATTGAATAAAATCGTGTTATTGAACATTGATGTGCAATGTCGCTTGATTCTAAAATGCAATAAAAATCTCACGATTCTAAACTAAAAAAAGAAAAAAATTATAGTTACGACGTGTCAGAGGATAAATCTCGAAAGGATATTTCGCGTAAAAGCGGCGCGTAAAGGGAGGACAATTTCCGAATTGAAAGGAGCATTCTTTCTAAATTGGTCTTTAAATTTCATATGGCTCACGGCGCACCGACCACCTCGCACGCCGCACGCGCGTGTGTCCCCTCGTGGCGTGCTGGACTCGTTAATGAAATGCAATCGTCGTACCTGGTGAACGTAGAAGGAGAAAAGAGATCCCGAAACACAGATCGCGCGCGCGAGAGGCTCGCCTCGAGCTGGTTTCACTGCCAAGGTGAATCCATCGAAGCGCGTAGAAGAAGTAGACTTGGACGCTTAGCGAAGCGATATCAGCCCGAAATGCTTTCTCCGTTACTTCTGCTCGTCCGCGAATGAAATTTTCGACAATATTTTCTTCACATTTACCACCGTTGTTTCTCGTATGTGTTATGCATATATTATAAAATCGAGCGACAGCGTTGCGTCACGTCACGTTCTGTACGAACTCACATTAAGAGAAGAAAATAATTGATCTGACTAAAATTATAGTTATTTTTTACTTCAACTACATTTTTTTGTTTTTTTTTGTTTTTTTTTTTTTTGGTAACATGGAAAGGGTAGCAGAAACATGTGCATACAAGATTATTGTCACTAACATTATAGTAAAATTTAATTTAAAAAAAATGGTTTTCTCGAACATAATTTATGGTAATTGTTTCTCTATGCGATATTATAATTACAAATATCAAACATTCTTTTCTCAATGCAGGTGCCCTTGTAGTAGTAATTTCGAATGCGATCTTAGTATAACGGTCTAAGGCCACGCCGCCCTTGTCGGGGTTAAGGTCTTTAGAGTCGTAAAAATGACGATAACTTGTAACATATTAATTCTGCGTTGCATTCACAGATACTACATTATCGCGCGTTGTTTACGATGTTTGTTAATGTTTCTTAACGTTAGATACTAAATAGCAGTCAATTAGACGAGCGACAATTAAAGTATTATTCAAGACAATTTTTTACGAACATTAGAATTACATAATCTTAGGAGAAGACAACCTTGAAAAACTGGAAAAATGCTACATCGCCATAAAAGGCAATTTTTGATGATTATTTGGTATAGGTTGTCATTAGGCTAGCTTACATCAAATATTTCATATATATATATATATATATATATATATATATATATATATATATATACTAAATATTCATACAGCACAAATATCCAAAATATATTCCAGAGATATACAAATATCTCTAAGCCATCTCTAAGACATTTCAAAAATGTATTTTGGACATTTATGTTGTATAGATATTTAATACATATATTAAATGTTTGGTATAAACTAATCCAATGACAACCTAGTATATGTACCAAGTGAGATCGCCTAAAATGAGCATTCCCTTTTCTTGCGTAAAGTGTAACGTCAAGAGAATGCTGAGGAAAGTAACAGAGAAAGAAGGAGAAAGAGAGAGAGTTATTGGATAAGATAATTATACACTGAGAGAAATTCCGATAAAAAATTAACAAACGGATATTTCCGATCAATTTTTATATCCAATCAAAATATCCGACTAAATTTTATCATAGCATTTTATTAGAATCGATAAAAAAAATTATGAACCGATATTTCTCATCAAATATTTCCTGATCGGATATAAAAATTCATCGGTATTTTGATCGGAAATATCCGTGTGTTAATTTTTTTGTTAATCGGATAATTTTTCTCAGTGTACAATGCAAAAGAATCTAAAATATCAATACCTGAATTTTTCTGTTATAATTATAGCTGGCTTTAATTCTCGAATAATTTCACGTGAATTTTACTTGAAGACTGACTCGCATTTAATGACGGTAGAGTGAGCAGTGAAGGAGCGAGCGAGTTGCATGAAAATAAATTCTAAAGCAAATATAAGAAACAAAACTGAGACGTACAGCGATCGACCGAGCGTTAAACCTCGAGAAATCTCTGGATGACCGGCTAATAAATGTTGATAGTCTCGAAAGACACACTTAATTATTCGATCGTCTTCTAATGTCGCGTAGCAGTTGTACACTTATCGCCAAGCATAGAAGAAAAATATTTTCAGGAATTCTACGTGCTCGAGCGCAGAACAACGACGCATCCTGCATTACATAATGCTTTAATCTTTATTGCGAATCCCTGTAATGGCCAATTACATGAGTAATTTTCGTCGATGCGATTAATCAACGGCGTATCGAAATTCTGCCGTTACCGCGTTGTGACCAATGAAGCGAGTTTGTGTGAGTTGTGGAGGCCGTCGATTTACAGCCGCGTTTAGAGATAAGTATCGATCGCCTTAACTATTTTAAGACGTCACACTTCTCCTTCGATCGTACATCGGAAACTAGAGAGAGCGCCAATTAGGATGCAAATGACCGCTCGTAACTTTGAAGTGATAACGAGCGTTGTCTAGGCCGCAATTCAAACTTACATTTCTAAAAGCGTCGTTAATGATAAGCAGTGTTTTGGGACCGCCGTGAATTGTTGGTATTTAGGACAAATTCAGAGAGGGTTCTCCAAACTTAGGAAATATAGGACGGAACAGTATCCAAGTATCTTTCTCTTTTCCTTACATATAGTTTTCGCAGCCTATATTCAGATATCAAGAGTCATTACTCTTGAAATTTGATGAGATATTTAGATTCTAATTTTAAAAGCATTTTCTAAAAATAATTTTAATGTTGCTCTCAACAGAGAGATTTTAATCATTTTTGTACTATTTTTATACAAAATCTTTAAAACAGTGCTATATCTTTTTGATATTACGTCAAAGAAACCGGAATCACCCCTAAATTTTTTAAAACCCCCAAGTTTCTTATTCCAAATTTTCGAGTAGGATCTTAAAAATTTTAACACTTTATTTTTAGGAAATGATCTTTAAATCCTAATTTTGAAGACAAGTATTTCAGGAGTATATGTTATAGAGAAACAATTTTATATGAACTTATTGGGTGATTTTTATCTCATCTATAGGAGATTACCTTATTGAAACGTTTTGTATATTGGATTAGTACAAGAGATCTGTCATATTTGTCAAGTAATAAAATAGAAAATGAAATTATTCAAAGTTGAAGAATTATTAATTTACATGAATCAAATGAACAGTTATGGGTAGGTTTAGACATCTAACAAGGGCTTTTGTTTTCTTTTTAATACCCAAATCATCTAATTTGATAGAAAGTGAGCAACCTTTTGCCACCAACCCAATACAACGGAGCTATCTCGATAGATTGTACTCGATAAATTGTACTCACCGTGGCAGACGACACCAAAGGCTAACAAAGCGATCCAGGTGACCGTCATTTTGAAGAAGACGCGGGATGTCATCCGCGACAGCGGTGCATTTATCACTGCACACGGACAATGAGACCAAGACGTCGTCGTCTTGGAACGTCCTGGCGCACGTGTAACGCCGTCGAGACGCTTGCGCGATTTGCACCCGTGGTGGAGCGATGACATGCGTTAAGGGCGCTAGTTTTCCTCTCTGTATCTAGCGCTAGTATCTTTCTGCCGCGACTTCCACCTGGTCACTAGCTGACGTCAGGTGACGGATGCACGACTCTGCCAGTCGACGCGATGCTCCCGTTCTCGACGATATCGAATACGCGCGAAATCTTTCGCACGCTCCTCGGACGATCCGTGGATCTTAAATGGACAACGAAGAAAATGAGAGACTCTGAAGATCACTCGAATGGAACAGCTCTCGGCGCGATATCACCACAATGCCGTCGTCGTTGTATATGGTTGTACGTATACACGCAATCCCCCAACATGAATTTTAACGACAAACGACCCTCCTCCGTCGACGACGAAAACAGAACTGTCTTACGTCCGACCGCTTCGCTGAAGACATTGCGTCGATTATTCATGAATTTACAATCAACACAATGTCTTAATACCCGTCGGAGCAACACCTAAGTGTTGCTTTAAACTTATCGATTAAGCATACAAGGACGACATTTTAATCTATTATAAATTTCAAGGAAAGAAAATGTGTACTGTTGCATTAACTGCGCCACAATTGAAGTGAATTTTCTTAATTTAATAGCAATATTATTGAAATTAATACTCGAGTTATTGAAACAATGTATTAGTTCCAGTAATATTGCTGTGAAGATTTACTTCAATTATATGGCGCTGTTGTCAAACTCTATCGATACAACAGCACCTAAAAATTTGAAAAAACCAAGATTGAAAATATTTTTCCCGCATAGAATTGCCCATCCCGAAATATTCCTAAAATGTCCTTGTTATAAAAAAACATACCTTTTGGGAGAAAAAATTTCTATCGATACAACCGCCTTTAAAAACCTCAAAAGTCTTAGGAAACATGAATCGATATGTATCTTATCCTAATATTCTAACTTCTAATTAGAAGTTGGCGCAAAAACCTACATGATTAATCAATAATCTCACCTCAATAATCAATAATCACACCTCTTTTATGATTTATCAGCTTACAGTATTATATAAGTTGATTAACTGTTTAAGGATTTGTCTTATTCGCACTGACTTGTAAATTATCGTTAGAATATTAGGATAGGATTATACATAGGAATATTGGTTCAAAATTATATTTTGCATTTTTAGAGTTTCGAGGTTTTTGAAGATGGTTTTTTTTATTAAAAGTTTATTATTTTGCGTTTTTTAATTACTTACGAAAATATTGTTTTTTAAGTCGTTTAAAAGAGCTTTTTTTGAGTTGAAAATAAAAGTTTTCTTCTATTTTCGTCGATGTTATCGGATTGTCAAAAAAGCAATGGAATTGCGCAATTTCCAGGTCATCTGAACAAATTCGGGCAATGACACTAATCTAAGAATCATGTAGATAACATATTGAATAAATTACGAAAAATTTCATTTTTAACGGTTCTCAAGATATGAAGGAACACAAAAAAACAAACTGACATACAACAACTTACATACAACTGAGAACCTCTTTCTTTTTTAAGTCGATCAAAAATCCCGTGAGATCCCCATTTCTCCGAGTTCTCATTAATTTTCAACATTTCCCGGCGATTTTGTTCCAAAATCATTATTCAACAAAGTCACTGAAAGTACGTCTCATTCGATGAAAAATCGATCGCATTCGAACAGTATCGCAGTATCGCCTATGTCCTCCCCATTACTCACTGTATTTTCTTCAACTCGCGCGAGACACCTCTCCCTCTCTGTTCGAAAGAGAAAGACGAAGGATTTTCTGCCCTAACGGCTGGCGCATACAATTGCCCGGGAGTTCAGAGTTACGTACATACAAAGGAAGAAAACACTTGGGATGATTCGTTATTATCGTAAGAAATATCCTCGCGAGGCATCTATCGCATGAGTAAGTAGCGTAGGCAGCAACGGGCGCGACTCCAAGAACGTGGATCCCAGACGTTTTGCGTTCGCGATCCCGCCAAAAACTCGAGCGTTCGAGTTCCCCACTGAATATAAATTATTCGTGGCGAGCATTCGCTTGTTCCAAGTTCGCGGCAATCCACTGACGAGCGATACAGGCCGCGAGAGTATACAGGTATTCGTGGGGGGGCCGTGAATCCGTCTGATCCGGCGCGCGTGCGGAGTGTCGAGGCGCGTGCTCGCTGGTGCGCCGATTGCAACTGCCGTAGGCGGACGATGGTCGGCGGCCGTCGCGTTCTAACGCGACTTGGCCGAGTGGAGGGGCCGGTGTTACCTGAGGTATCTGAGGTACCTGAGGAGGTACCTGAGGTACGTGCGTGCCGTGGGAGCCAGGGGGACCCCTACCTCACCCTACCCACCGACGAGGACTCTACCGAGACTCGTCACCTGTGACTCCACCTCCCACCTGACGGCCCCCGTGGATACCTTCCAAGGGGATACCTTCTCGCGAAAGACGAGTCGCGATAAGGTGTATCCGCCCGATGAGGAATTCCTAAGCAGAGCCGCTTCTCTCTTTTATACGGCTTGAGCAGCTTTTACGAGAGACGGGAGTCTCTCTCTCTCTCTCTTTCTTTCTCTCTCTCTCTCTCTCTCTCTCTCTCTCTCTCTCTCTCTCTCTCTCTCTC